GAAGAATTTTGGGGTGGGAAGGTCACAGGGAGGTGGAGGAAATTATCAACTTGCGATTTGCGTGGCGGAGGGTTGAAATCGGGGGAGAATTGACGGAGATATTGAATTATTTGTTTTCCGGAGGGTTTTCCAAAATTTTCCGAGGGATTTTTCTTTGGGCTAGGGCTGCAGGGCGTTGGAGGGACCTTGATGTGTCACTTGATCTCATTTTGTATTCTGCTGTAATGGGAAGATGCGGAAAATTGTGAGAAGCCTGTCGGAGAAGGAAAATAGGTTTTCCTTGTTCTCAAAATAATTTTCTTATTTTCCGGCACACGAATGCTTGACAAGAGGCCATACCCACTGCAATGAAACCGCTGAAGATTTCCTCCGCATTCCACTGTTGCAAAGGGAAGTGCTGAAAGATTCGGGGGAAATGCGGAAAATCGGAAAAGCTTCTGAGAATTTTCCATGTGTGCGTGCTATTGAGAAATCAAAGGAGTTGAAAAATTCTCTTGCTTTTTTTATCTCCGTGAAAAACTGGAAAATGTCCCCATGAAAATCCGGAAAACTCAATTTTCCATTTTCTCAATTTTCCATTTTCTCAATTTTCCAGCTCAAGAATTCTCACTACCCAGATAAATCCAAAACTCCCCCAGCCCTCCACAAATGAACATGAATATCGGAAAATTCGCGGGGAAAATTGGAAAAGCGGAAAAACCCCTCTTTCCCTTTTCACAGCCGAACAACAGACTGAAGTCCCCAACATTTTTCTGGGGCGTCAGATAGAAAATACAGAGTAAAAATTTCGTGCAGATAATTCCGGAAAATCAGCTTTTCATTTCAACAATTTTCCGATAAAAATCATGCAAAAATCATACAAAAAATCATGCAAAAAATTCCAGTTAAATCGCGCGTAACTTTCTCTGGCTTTCCCCTGCAACCCCCAAATCACATTTTTCCGGTCTACTTAATTTTCCGACTCCTGAAAATCATTTTTTTTTTTTTGCAATCTCGTTTGCCCCCGTCTACCTTTACACATCTCGACTGGCGTATGCGATGGTGCGACGCGGCAATGCGCGGCTATATATCTTTAGATTCCGTCTAACTTTAGTCCTCGGTGTCGAGGGGGACACCAAAAACCAAACACTCCTCTCACTCTTTTTCGTCTGTCAGACTATACTACTCCGTTTACTCGTGTACTAGTACGAGTCTTTTCTCTGCGAAATGACGTAACCATCACCTCGTAACCTTCGAAGTTATAATATTAAGATACAACCCCTCCATTAATCTTTTAATAGATTTTTATCTCGCTTTTCCGAGGATGACAAAGACCACGTAATTGCATGAAATCAGTGCCACCATTATTTAACCCCCGAATTTTCACGAATTTTCCTCCGAGTCACCAGGTACCGGAAAAATCCAATATTTTCCAATGCCACTATTTTTTCTCCCCCGAATATATCTCTCACACATGACAAGATAATTCTTGATTAATGGGTTCATTAAAACCAGTCAATGTTTTTGTTGTTATTTTTTTATTTATCCTCGGAAAATGATTTTTTCCGTGTGTTCATCTTATCGTCGACGCCCACACATTTACATGCCCCTGAGCAGGATGACTGGATCCACCGCTGATTTTACTCGCCGAAAATAAAGAAATTGAGAAAAAAATAAAATAACACCCGGTGACACAACGATCGATCGTTTGCCGGTACGACTATCTCTCGTTTTGTCGATTTATTTTTACAACCATCGAGGCACAACATCCGGTCGTATTGCCTAGACGATTCACGTGGGTGGAGTGTCTCGGGGCGAAGGGAGTGCAATTATCGGTGTAATAAATAAAAATTACCACGATTTGAGTGAAAAAATTTGACAATCAGAAAGTTGATGATCTGATGGTGAGAGGAATCGGCCACTGAATGGTGCACAGTTGTTTGTTTTTGTTTGGATTTACCAACAACTCTAGCCAAAACAATCTACCACCTGCCAACTCCACCGATACGCATCACTTACAAATCGGTCTGGTCTATCCATTTTTTCAGTAAA